AGAACAAATTTAGGTACAAATAATCATAAAACCCTAGGTCTAAAATCAAGTCTAGCGGCAGCAATTGCCTGATACATCATACAGGGTGGGTGTGAAACAAGTTGATGATCTCAGTCTATTTTTAGTGGACAAGTGTTCATATCACAAAACCACCTTAACAACTGGGACACTTTCTCAGGTGCCCATGCAAAAAAAAAAGTTACTAAACATGCCATGGGCAGCATCATATGACAGTGACTGGAGCTCGCTGCTCCCGAACCAGCTTGTGCTGGTAACACAGGTATTGGGCCCGTTTTGCACTACACTTTGCAGAGCTATTGAACACACTTAGCACCTGTCCCAAGCACTACACTTCCTCGTTTCCCCCCTCCCTCACCCAACCAAATCTCCACCGTGCAACTGCTACCAGCCCAGGGGCAGGACCCAAGCGTGCTGCGGCACCCCTCCGCTGCGGGGCTCTCCAGCACGCACCCGGGTTACAGCTTGGCTCCCTGGCTCCCAGCACCACAACCAGCCCCCTCCCCCCAGAGCCGTGACCCCATCAGGCGCAGAGCCCCGCGTCCCCGCCACGCGCCTGCACGTCCCCGGGCAGAAGCTGAAGCCCAGGAGCCCCGCTCAGCGGAGCAGCGACGGCCAGGGACACGTGCGGGCTCCCCCGGCTGTCAGGATGGAGCAGCCCAACTCTGAGGGAGAGGGGCGCGCTGGGACCTACCATCTCGATGATCTTGGTCTTCCTGCGCGTCTTCTTCTTCATGGTGAAGATGTACTGGGCCAGGACCACCCCCCCCACCAGGGCGCACACGCTGGCGCTGGCCACCGCTCCCATTGTGGCCACCGCGGCCCTGTCCATGGCGGCTCCGCCCTCTCCGGTTTGCGGGCGGGCGGGCAGGTTTCTGGGCGCCCCGACAGCTCCCTCAGGCCCGCGAGCGGCCGCAGGGTCCCGACGATACCACACAAAAAGGAAAGGGGGGGACGTTGGGAAAGACCACTCAGAGCTCCCACCCCCGGCAGGTTGCGTCGCTCCCAAGCGGCTTCCTTATCTCAATCTGAAACGGTTCCGCGGCCGGCTGCTCTCGGAAGAGAAGAGCCGCTGTCCCCTCCCGTAGGAAATGGTACAACCCCGCATGCCCTGTCAAGAGCCACGCTCGTGGCTTCCAAACTACATATCCCGGGATGCTCGGCGGCCGCTTCCCTCTCGCTTCCGCTCCCCGTTTGCTGAGTGGGAGGGGGAGGCGCGCGGGGTTGGTTGTTAAAGTGCTATGACAACGGGTGCGAAGATGGCCGCCGAGGCCGGTGGAGCGGGCTGGCTGGTGGCCGCGGCCGCCCCCCGCTGGGCGG